ACAGATGGTATAAGGTTTGTTGTGTATTTTCAGCAATTATGATGCGTTCGGACGCGCTGATGGATATGGTAAATGCAATGGAAGATGATGTGGCCCTAGTCACACAGATGCCGTATTGCAAAGGATAGGGAGGGATTTGCAGGTGCTCTAGAACAGGTAAGCTCTTTTCACGGAGTTGAAATTAGAACTGTTGTGTGAAAATTCAAGGGGTGCAATTTCTTGTTTATGTGTTTGTCGATATAATTGCTTAGCCACGATCGCCGAACAATTTTTTATCCTTTATCTTTTTTTTGATGGAGCTTTATTAATTCTTGTTTGCTTCGTATTTGATCCCGGCGTGCGCGTAATTGTTGAAATCTGTGCCAGCGAAGCGGGCTTGAAATTGGGCTACACGCAATTTACTGTGACTTGCAGCTACGCTGTAATCTCTATTTTGTATAGATTGGTTCCAACCCCTAGCACCTAGAAAGTATATGCGCTACTGCAAGCGGTGGCTAAGCAGCGACGGAAGCGAACAGTTCCATTTCGCGACGTAAGGGTCGCTAGTGGTCGCAAACTTAAAGAGCCCCGCTCCGAAATCGCGTCGCCCACAACTGAGGCCTGAGAAGTGGCTGTAATCGTCTTTGATTTCCGTTTTGGAATCTTATCAATTTTACATTTTTTTTTCATTTAGCGCATTCTTATCAAACAGCCTTTTTTCTAATCTTGTCATGCTTTGTATTCCTTCAGGATACTCTTAGCTAAACAGTTCTATGCCGTAACTTGTTTCGCGATAAAGAATGAAACAATTGTGACCTTTTGCGGGTTTTTGACAAGTTTTTCCGCTTGTTGACCGCTGCCGCACTATTTGTCACCCCCATTTCCATTCTAAATCCACTCAGTATCATACTCACTTCAAGCTGTTGAGTGTACAGTATTGATTATTAGAATGTTATAGGATTGTGCACTGTGTGAGTATCTTCGAAATTCAACGTTCTTTTTCTTCAAACGAAACGATTTTTGTGATAATTGATGTGCTTCAGATCTACTTCGGTACCAGCCATGGCCGTATCTATCTTGCTGGAAACTGCATGCAGTTTGTATGTTCGACCGGAATGTCGTCATTAATGAGGAAATTTGTGCTAGATGAATGCGGTGGATTATCGGTGAGTCAAGATCATGAATGACTAGCATCTTATGCCACATTTTTATGTTGGTTTTCGTACTACATGTTATATTAGTACTTATATATTGCCTCTTCTAAACTCATAATTGTCGTATTATATTGTTTTGAGAAGTAGAGATCAAGAGAGGTAATCTAGACAGTTGTGGACTAGAATAATATGGACTATGATAGTAATAGTAATAATACAATATGGATTAGAATATTTTTTGAAAATAATTTGTCTGACTGCTGAGGCGAGGGATGATTGTGTACAGTGTTGATTGTATGTAAATCGTAGTATTGAGCAAAATGGTGTTCAGGCATTTGGTGACGTCTTGGCCGAGGATTATTTCATTGGATTAGAGTTCAGCCGTCGGTAAGTTTTTTAACCTTTCAGACCTTGCTTGCGATAAGGATATTTTTTGCCAATGGGATGCTCTCCTTACTAACTTTTCTCTTGAACTTCTGCTGTTTCAAATTATCTTTGGTTAAAAAGCTTTCAAATGTCCGTGCTGAATTCACTTCGCCATTGCTCTTGAAACATTTTTCAGCGGTTGGCGATCAGCGATTTCTACTCATCCGGCCCTTCAAAACGGTGCTGAACCTACTGTGGCGAAGTTCCACGCGAGAATTAGAAGATGGATGCAGCTGCGGATCGCAATGTTACCTCATATGATGTTTGTAGAACCTTTACAGGTTAGTAATCCACGGGCCCTTCCGTTCGAGCATCTCAACTGTTTCTTTGGGAAACGATTTGATTCATACTTAATAGATTCATTACACCTGTTTTAGGATTGCTTCATGTCTGGTCTTATTGGTTGTCTGTGTGCCAATCATTTATTAGGTCTGAATCCTATAGCCTACTACGCAGTCCACTGTATCGCTTGGTTTTTGTGTGATTACGCTTTGAATCGATCTATACAGGTGAGCTTTAAGGTTTCTTCCGTCAGCTAAGTTCCTTTATTCCAAGAACATTTTTCCGCTCGCGAAGAGGTAATTCATACCAAGCAGCAATCTTACGAGTTGTCCCAACTTGCTGTATTGAGAAGCGCCTTTGCAGCGTGGCAGTCATGTATGCTGAAACTCTGCCTTCTAGGGGGTTTACGGACTACTTGATTTTTCCTCAATGGTCCTGCCGCGATGGCTAGAGCACAGACGATTAGAGAACGGGTGAATGCCCTAGGACTAAGCCTTGGAGGAGAGGGACCCGCGAGAGAGCGCAGAGGCGGTTTAAAGGGCTGAGTTCAAGTAGTCCGTCACCTTGCAAGGAGCCTGTTTTCCGCCTCGGCTGGGTTCGCGCATCGTTTGCATCTTCTTCGCCTGACTACCGCTTGAGAATCCGTAAGTTTATTCATTTTGGGCTCAAATCAGCTGGGTAACGTGAGCAGGAATGTTTTTGATTAATACCTACAAACGGATAAATTTCCTCCGAAACATTAGTTTCCAGTACATTGGTTTTCTGAGCGTTCAGAGAGCGCTCCTGAAAAGAAAACCTATCAAAGACTTGAAACCGTGGCCCTGCCGAATTGAGTCCGACTCCTATTTGTTAGGTTCTCGAAGCGTTACTTACGCTTGCGCCGATATGTACCGGTTGAGCGTGAAACAATGTACATAATTAGCGTCCGGTGGGTGGTGACGGATACATTGTTTTTTAGATCTAATAGTGTATGTGGATTTTTTGGGACATTCAAAATGCCGAATAAATCAAGCAAAACGAAACTCATCCATGTGAGGACGTAAAGCGCATGCGCTTCACTTGTTGTCTTTTTTATATTTACAATTGTTTTTACAGAATGGTCCTCTACCGTATCGTTTGCCGGCATTCGCATGGGCTTGGGCATTCCGTGAAGGATTGGCACCGTTCATCTATGTCCGGGCAATACTCACACCCAGCATCAACTGGAGAAATGGCCGGTTCCGATTACACTGGGGCGGCAAGATAAGGTCGTCCTGAAGTTTCACGTCAGTCACGCGTCAAGCTCTTGAAACTATTGCTTTGAAGCACAAGGAATGGCCGGAGATTTTTCCCGACCTTCATGCTCTCGTATTCTCCTTATGATATTGAAACACTGTACAAGCTGTAGAATTGATATGTTTAACTGCTGCGTTGTTGGGTTCGTATTCCTGATCGTGCACATTCGCCAACGATGAAATAAGGTGGCGGCACGCCAGAAGTATAAGGTTTTGATAGCCCAAGAATAGCTGAGTAGGGTGTGAGTTTCTGATTTCCGGTTCGCGCTTATCCCAGTGGGTCTATGTGTGCCTGGTGTGACGTCATCCATAGAATTTAAAAGTAAAGAAGCAATATGTGTTATCCCGCTCGATGATATAGCTGAAGTGTTAGCATGTTGGTCAAATGGAGGCCGTTTCAGAGCCTGACGGCAAAGCTGTGAACAGCTCTCAGAGTACTGTCAAATGATGTTGCCTGGCGCTGCGTTTCGGATGCACGTTCGTAAAGTCCATTTTTTAAAACTCTCAGCCAGTTAGGGGTGTGGTTGAACTCAACTCCTAACCCACTTAGATCATGCATTCACTACGTCATCAGAATAGCAACGCCTTCCGGTCATCGTGTTCCCCACCTTTGAGGTCTGCGCTCCTGGTAGTAAATTGGCCACAAAAAATAACCAGGATAAGGCTAGCCCCTATGAAAAGGGACAAATTAGCAGTGGATCAGGCTGTAGGGGTACTTCGGTAAATCACAAAGCTTTTGACGGCTGAAACTTTGAGAAGTCTTGCCGGAAGTTTGACATGAGCAATTGATGTTTGTTGCCTTTTACGTTGATCCATTCAACTGCTGAATTGGCGTTTAGAGCTGTTTAACCTTATCCTTTTGGTTTTTAGCCCATAGTAGCAGCTGCAGTAATATCACCATAAATACGGTGCTTTGTTTCACTTGGGCCTCATATCTCTCTGACCGTCTGTCACTCCGTTCGTTCTTTCTTCTACAGTCTCTCGTATATTTCTATCATTCCTCATTAAACTTTTGTAGCCATTAAGCTTTTACGTCAAGATGGTGTTGCGTGTACAAAAATATGCCTTCATAGAGAGCTGCGTCTGTTTGACCGAGAAATTCTGATTACTATTGATCATATCCAGGTATTGTTGTGGTCATCGATTTTAATTGATTTCATTAAGTACATATATGTACTGGCCGATTATGTCGCTATTATGTAGTGCTGTATTGTTTTTATGTATACGCAGAATTTATTTCTTATTATTTTCCTATTTCTATATTTTCTTTGTATCATTATGTATTGTTGATTTTAACTGTACGTTAACTAGTCAGCAGTGCTAACCAGTGATTCCGGCATTGCTCAAGGTCTCAAATCTGGCCAAGTATTCTTCAAGTAAAGAGTACCTTCTGCGTTCTTGTCTAGGCCGTTGTCAGACTTGGCGAACCGAGCGATTGGCTACTAGCGATTCGCTAGCGTCCGCGGTCGCGTTGCGGTACCAGCCAATTGAGTGATTCACTGGCCGCGACGCGACCGCAGACGCTAGCGAATCGCTCGATTCGCAAAGTCTGACATCGGCCTTCCTTCCCTTTTTTGGCACAGAAAAAGAAAGGTGCTCACGCGCGCAGTCGCGTTGCGACACGATCCTGATCTTTGTGGGTAGGAGTAATGAAAGCTCGTGTAGGGCATATGGGTAGACCGATTGTTATCCCTAATTACTAGTGGTTAAAATTAT